AGCAAGTTGAGGTGGTTCGGGCACCTAGTTAGGATGCCACATGGGCGCCTCCCTAGGTGATCCAGGCACGTCCAGCAAGAGACCAAGGGTAGACCTAGGACCAGGTGGAGGGATTATATCTCTTCGCTGGCCTGGGAGCGCCTTGGGACCCCCCAGTCAGAGCTGGTTGATGTGGCCAGGGAAAAGAAAGTTTGGGGCTCTCTGCTGGAACTGCTACCCCCGCGACCCGACCACGGATAAGCGGGAGAAGATGGATGGATATATTTCTTGACTTATTTGTGTAGTTCCTTGGATCTAAAATACGGTGGCCAACAAGTGTAAACGCGCTACAACCGCCTAAAACATCTCTATTAGGAGAAACAGGATCGAGTTTCACAAACGATGCAAATAGGATAATTTTTCGAATTTAGAGAAACAACATCCGTATGACGAAATAACATCGATACTAGAAAAGAAAAAGAATAACTTCTGAACTCCCCCTCTTGTTTCCAAGTATAGAAAGTGTCCCGACAGTGGAATTTTCAAGGTTGTTATTCAGTGACGTACAAGCTCGACCAGCTCAGAGGGAATGACTCATCAACATTTAATGTGTGTCGTCTTTTTTATGTTTATTGGCCTGTGCTTCTGTGTACACTCATTAGCAACAGAACAAACTTTATAGTAGCACAACATGGGGTTTGATAATGTGTTTTTGCTTCAGTCTTAAAAAAAAATGGGATAACGAATATGAGAGAAAATGGTATACTCTTAAAATATCCATCATTGGTCCCGACGACCATCTGCCTTCCTTAAAGATTTACTGACCGCAAACCAGCGGCAGATTTAGAGTAGCATGTGAGGTAATGTGTTTTTTATATGAGATATGTGACAGCCATGCAGTTGTGGTTTAATCTGTCAAACCAGAGATCTAGTGAGATGTGGTCATGGCTTTGGGGTGGAGTAGAAACCAGAAAATCGATGTAATGCCAGACTTAAATCATTGTCTCATCACCTATCTGTCTCATTTTATCTTGTGTCCTGACATGTCCTACTTTTAACATATCTGCCAGTTATATCTTTCAACTGACATCTCTCTTACACTGTTTCCCATTACTCATAAAATAGGCGGGCGAAATGAGAAAACCTGACTCTCGTGATCCATATGGCTCATCGTAAAACTGACAAAGAATATGTCTTTGGGCATGCTTGGGGTAGAAAGCAGTACTCTTGAGGAACAAGGAAATGTACACACACTGAGTACACAGATGCCTTTTACTATAGAGGCATCTGGGTGAAATCTGCTCAAACACAAACACCTCAAAGCATTGACATCCCCTAAGCGGAATATGAATGGGTTCTCCATACATCATTTTGAGTATGGAGATGGGATTCAGCAATACACTGAATTGAATAGTCAAGAACAGTAGAGACAAAGAGATTGAAAACAAGATTAACGCTGCGTTCACTCCCAGAGTTACAACGCACCCTGGTAGGTTTCATTAAACTAATGCAATGTAACGGTCTGGACTCGGTGAGATCATTAAACAAAACAAAGGGCCACTATCCAGAAAGTCTTCAACAGGGATAAGTTATGCTTCCTTTATTTGGGAAAGAGAATCACATTGCTATGCAGAAAAGGTTATATTAGCTGGTAAAAATCAATCAATGTTAATTAGAAGAGAAAAGGACACATACTTTAAAATATACGTCAACATAATGTTTTGGAAAGCGCAGGTCTTTATCTATGAAAATATCTTTTAATAAAGTCATAAAATTGCTTCTTAGATTAGATCAGGGAGAAATATGTAAATGTGAAATCATTGTCCTGTTGGCAGGGAAATGACAAAGATAAATGTCTTGACATTTGTTTTTAACTATCCAGTGATATTATACAGTTATAGTAGCTAACATGTGCAATATGTGAAAGTATGTTTTCAGAAAAAACCTCATAATAGAATGCAAAACATGTTGTATGTAAACATACTTTCACATATTGCACATGTTAGCTACTATAACTGTATAATATCACTGGNAAAAAATAAAAAAATCCCGATCCCCGATTTTTTTTCTCCCGATTCCGATCTTTTGAAAATCACGTGATCGGCTCCGATCCCCGATCACGTGATCGGATCGGGACATCTCTAGTAATATTTACACATAATTGAAACATAAAAAGACAAAGAAATAAGGAAAAATTCAGAGGAAAGTGTCAAGAAGAGGAGAGAAAAACAGGTTTTGTGCTTATTTATTATTTGTTTAGTTATTATTTTGTTGTTGAGAGGGTCTGGCCTGGTTGGTGTAAAGAGGATGGTATATTCGAATGCATTTCCCGCTTATGATCAATGTGCTATTTTGCTATTTATTGTAAGCCTTCTGCACTGAGTGCTGTAAAAAGAAAACCAACAGAGAAAATGTTCTTAATCACTCTCCTTAACGGTAAATTGGCCGATGATCCACGACTTATTGTTTGCTTTAATCTCACTTCCAGAGGTAGTACCGTGCCAGTGGTTGGTGAGAACTTGCACATAGTTTGTCATTTCCCTAAAAGCCCCGTGACAGAAGTGACCATGAATCTGCAGCGAAAGAGGATCACTAGACAATGGTGTCATAACAATGAACACGATTATTAACCAGCATGCATTAGGCAGGCGGCCAGGCTGTTTGTCAGGTTGAGGTTGCCAGGTACTATAGACACAACGCATATTTCTTAACAGCGTTATATACTGGGTTTAACCTTACACAGATTTTATTGTTAATTAAAAACAATTTATAAAAAATTAGAGTTTTATTTTAATAGACCAGATATTTGTATTAACCCTCCTACAACCCAGTACTATTCAGCATTGTTATATATTCTAAAGTACATATTATACAGTATATAATATCATTTATTTTTACTTTTACTCATGTTAATAATTATTTGGCTTATTTGACATTTAACCTTAATTTCTTACGTTTATATAAAATTATTAATTTTATTTATTTGTAATTTTATCTTTTTTTTGCAAATTCTTACTTCTTGTGTTTATATAAAACAAATATTCAATTTTTTTATTTATCTTTTATTCCAAAATGTTGCACATTTCCCAATAAGCCAATTTTCACAAGCATTCTGTATGTTGCAGAGTTATCAATTCAGCAAATTAAAATGTATTTTATGACCCCGCTTCCCCAGAAATAGCCACTTGTTAGCATGTGACACATTACGACACCAGATTCTCCCACTTATATGATGACGTTAGATGTGTGTGTTTGGGTTTGTGTGTGCTTGCTTTGCGCCCTGCAGTCAGACCCAACACAATCATAAAGCATGGCAGGTTGTCTGTTCCTCTCAAGCTATCATCACAGCCTCACACAGGGACATAAACACACTCTCTGTGGTGTCCTACCTTTGTGAGGAATGAAAATGTAACCTAATCACTAAGCTAACAATAGCCCAGAGGAACGTCTTGAGAGCCACGGACAATGAGAAATGAAACTTGTATTATTTATTGTAACAAGTCTTCAGCGGCTCCCTGAAGACACAGGGACGTAGAGGAGAGAATTACAACGAGAGGTGTTTCTCGGGGCTGAAACTCAAGGTCAGCGTAGATACAGAAAGACACAAAGCCCTCACACTCATACACTCACTCCGAGGATGTTTAACAATCGGCTTACTTAGCTCATTTATCCTCTCGCTTTTAGACTCCATCTAATCTTTTGTTTTCCTTTTCATCTGAGTTGTGATCAGTGATGGAGTGTTTCTGGGTGCGAGCCAGCCGGGCGAACAGCCAGACTCAAGTTTTTCTCTCCTTACTTACCGTCTCTGTTTGTCTCCAACCGTTCTGCAATCGCTCCGTCTCTCTGTTTGCCTTTCTGCCTAAGTGGATGGGAAGTGTTCATTGTTGGACAGATGTTAAATATGTTTTCGCTCCGTAGCCTGGATACAATGAGCAATACACGCTGAGCTCGACTACAATTACTTTGTGAGCAAAGAGAAACAAGCTCCAACTAGCGCTCACCAATGCTCTGTTGTTCTTTTCTTTTGATTTCTAAAGGCTCTAGAGTTCATTTTTCCCTGTCCTGCTAACATTTCTGAGTTAGCCATCACCCTTGAACATACTAATATTCACTTCTTCTGTCCAGCAAGACATTCATCCATCGAACCCTGTTTATGGGAAGTTGTGTTTTTTAAAGGCATTAACTGCTAAAGCAAGAGGCTAATCCAGCTAACAGTAGCATTTGTTTCAAGCTAGCTTTGGAGAGGGCGAGGGATTGTTCAACCCAGTCTCATGGCATTTCGTGTTCACCAACACAATTTTTAATCTATTGATTCGTGTTCACCAACACGGTTTTCCCCTTTGTTCCCCAGACCTTGAAGATTAATCACGGGGACTGTAGTCCTAAACGATAGCTGGGGATTATGGGTAGTGTAGTGTCTTCGGCCATCCTAAACTCCTAGAGGCCTACGTCTGTTTCCAGTTATTTTTATTTTGAAATTCAGTTCCCAAAACTAAGGCCTCAGGATGACTTNTAAGGGACAACTTGAATGCTTTTTTTTCTCTTAATGCATTGCATAAAGATCGGATCGGGAAAAATCGGTATCGGTAAATTGTCAAAATCAAATGATCGGAATCGGATTGGGAGCAAAAAAAGGTGATCGGGACATCCCTAAATATTACTTAAGTGTGTTGTAACAACTTTTGTTATCCACATAAATGAAAACATAAAATATATATATAAAAAAAGGGGGATATTCAAATACCTCAGGGCGTATTGGATAGGGGAAACATATAAATGTAATAATGATGTAACATTTGCATAAATGTAACCCAGCCTGTGCTGGGAAAATATAACAATAACATATTTGGGACAGGAAGCACTTTGCAGCAGATTATTATGCAGAGTTGCTCACAAAAAACAATATGAAAAACAGCAGCATTTGAATATGTTTACTATATATGAGTTTGAACATATATAGTAAACCATGTGTGCTTTCACCAACAACAAAAAAGCTTCTTTGCAAATGTACATGGACTTACTTGGTACTCTGTTGATGGCCCGCAGTGGCCTGAGCACTCGGACAGTACGGATGGCTGACAGACTGGCGTTATGGCCGTCCAGAGAATACTCCATGACCCTGAAGTGAGAAAAGCAGGAAGAAAGAGTTTTACTTCAGGTTCTGTACTCACCTACACACGGATATAGTGACACAAAGCAACAACACTGAAAACCATACAAATAATAATGCTTATATTGGCAGCTACCCACATAATTACTGTACATTTGACATTTAATTATACAGTCAAAAGCGTTTTTCCCTCTATATAGTCTTACATCACAGCACCCAAACATCAGCAATGTGACAGGTATAGGCAGAGAGCCAGTTATGGTCTTAATTGTGTGTGTTTCTTGTGCTCTGACCTGTGGGTGCTGTGTAAGGAGTGTGTGAGTGTGTGTGGTCAGGCTCGGGCCTCGGAGCGTGGGAGTATTTAAAGGAATGTCTGCTGCTGATTGGGTCCTGCCCTCGTCTGTCTGGGAGTGCAGAATGTACATTGAGGGGGTGTTTAAGGTTTCTCTGATTGATATATAACTCTTCTCTTTAAAGTAGAGTGTTATGCTTCCACCTTGATTGCATGCTACGATCAGTGGATGGTAAGACTGTAGCATTTTATCATGGTGACGCCTGACCTGGATATCTACATTGAAATTATTGCTTTTTTATATCAAAATGGCATGAAAACATTTTGAAATCTGAGAGAGAATAGAATTACCACCTTGCAGTTTCACACCTTCACCAACTAGATACAGTTTAAATGTAATCATTAGATCATTTGTTATTATTATAAGCATAACAAATGTGTTGTGAGGTCACAGAGACCTTTACATTTGACCACCGGTTTAACATTTACCAATGAGTGCAAGTGGATGTCTGTACGAGATTTAAGGATATCTTGTCCAGCATTTATCAAATTAAATTAAATTAAATGTTTTTCAGATAGTCCAATATCGCAAAATACATTTGTCTCAGGGGGATTAGCAGATCAACAAACAAGAATGACGAATTCAAATTACAAGAATATAATAAAATTACCAGATAAAGCAAACAAATAGAATAAAATAAAATACCATAAAATATCGGACCAAGGAGGATGTTGGGACACTGTCTGCCTCCTTTATGATTACTGGAAGCTGATTTATGAGACATCCCAATCATGAGAATGGGTAGCGTTCTCAGTGACCTTGACAATTGACCACGAAAATCTAATCATTTCACCCGTCTGTGCTCAATTTGAAGAAATACCCATTTGGTGATCATGAGCTATTGGGGTGAGGACAACACATGTATTGAATTTGAGTTATACCACTTTTTCAGTAGCGACAGAATATTCGGAAGACAGATACCATAACACTCCCACAGGCATGAACCCAAGCACCTCTATTTTGTGAGCTGTGGGTGGCCATGTTTACTCCTGTGTGAGAACAACTCTGCGTGAGTGTTTGTGCTTCTTTGTGTGAGATTGCATTGATCAGATATTTCATTTTGTGTTCGGCAAAGTGTTATTTCATTCCAAATCGACTGCTATTGTCTAGCTGCAGATGACTGAAACAATTTAGCAATTTGTGAGCAAGAGTAAAAAGCATTGTGGGATACTAACCCCGCCATGACGATGACAAAGTCAAGCTGGTTCCACTTGTCGCCAAGGTAACAATTGGGTCCAAATATTCCCAGGGCCACCATCTTGATGACCATTTCCACAGCGAAGAAAGCAAAAATACAGTCGTCCAACACCTAGTAAGAAATAGTAGAGAAACAGAAGCATACAGATGTTATCACAAGAGGAAATCAAATACTTGCAAACACAGAAAGGTCCGGTTCTCGTCAATAGGAGTCACATTTTGAAACAAGCTGTGAAGGTGCCAGTGGAGGTTGTCTGAAAATAAAATCTCGTCTCCATTAGTTAGTCTCGTCCCAGCGGGGGAATAGCTCTGGCTTAGCATGGTAATGGCTGCGTCTCAATTAAATAGAAATGCACCACAGCAAAAACGAGCGTCTGCATTTGAATATAATGAGCATATCTCAGCGCGCCAAGAAACAACATTGCTCTAACAGCATGTTGAAACAAATGAGACAAGAAAGAGACTGAACGTTTTCATTACCATTTATTCACAAATTGCAGTTATTATTGCTCTTCCTGTCACTTCACAGCAGCTAAAAGCAGAATGTGGAAGTGATCCTTGGTGTAATAGAGACATTTAATTTGAAATACAACAGTCTGATGCATGGTTTACATTTTGGTACTATGAATGACGTTGCTACTGAGCTTTCTTCATCACTTACTAAAGCACTGAGTTGGGATAATAGGATAATACTTTGTCAGATCAAGTCGGATTTTTCTCTTGTATCACAGCAGCACCATTTACGTCATCAAAAAGGACAACATTTAGACAAGAAACACGGGACACTTAACACTCCCAGACACCTAACAAAACATTACAATCATTGCAGAACATGTGTGAACGACCCTTAAATGTATATTTGATGTGCATTGAAGGGTTACAAAATTAAAATCAAAGCATGGCACATGACTTAACGTATTTGTGGAAGAAGCTCAAATATGTCACCAAGGTAAGCAAAATCTTTTCACATTAAATAACTACTGTATTAATGTCCACATCAGCAAAGCCTCATACATGTAGGCATAACTGAGGTAAATAGAGTAAGTTGTATGTCAGGTGTTTGCATGGAGAGAAAGCACACACAGAGCTAAGAGTGAAGACCTTACACTCACCTGCAGGATGCCGCACCACTCAGATTGGCAGGCGACGTCTTCACAGGGCTGGAACATCCCCAGAGTCACACAGTTGAGCAGAATCACCAGCATGGAGAAGTGCTCGAACCACGTACAGGAAGCGGTTAAGGCCAAAACACATTGGATATATACATACTGTTCATTTCAGGGGAGGTTCAATGGAAAGCAACAATTTCAAATAGTCCTATGCAGTTGAATTTTCAAACAAAATCTTAGTGTGCTTATTGTGAAAAGCACAATTATGTTAATGGTGAACAATCTATGCCGGGGACAACTTTTTCTGTAACACCGCCTCCATTGCCGATCACAGATATGGATGCGTGAAGAGAACTGGATGCAGCGTTGGAAGCGGGAAACCATTCATTGCAATGAAAGTTACTTAGTCTTGAAAACCAAAATACCAAGATCTTCTGTGGATTTACCAGCAATCTTCTGCAAACATCGGGCCCAACGTACGCACTAAGCCCTGCATCCAAACTGCTCAGTGAAATGACTGGAGAGGGACATTAAATATACATTATCCAAGTAGGCTTTCAGGACCTACTGATTCAAATAAGGGCTATTCAAGGGTTTGTTCTGGGTAGTCCATTTACCGTAAAATTAAAGAAAATATTTTTGGGCCCAATGGCATCATGTGACTGACACGGAAGTTGTAGTGCCACCATTAAAGGTGGAGTAGGTAATTCACTTCAGAAACACTTTTTGTTATATTCCATGGAATGCTCTTAACATCCCGATAGCAATGAATATCTGAAGTGCTTTGACAATAAATACATAAAATAAATATCATCTGTGGAAGCCGTGGCGCTGTAAAAAGCACGACCAATCATCTGAGCCGGCCCGGCTAAAGTAACTGGATGGCCTACCTGCCTGCCAGCCTTCCATCTGTGCACAAACCTATCTCGTGCCCTCATTGGTCATGTGCGCGTTCGTGTGTGTTGGAGGAGGGGCTCTGTAAGGAAGGGGCAGATTTTTTCCGGTTGTGTATTTTCAAATTCTAGCGCACTCCAGCTGTTTTCTCCAAAATTACCTACCCCACCTTTAAGCTACTACGAGAATTTGCTTCAACCCAGCACACTTCCTTAGGGTTCGGCCACAGACCAATCAAACGGACCCATGATCAGGGCCAAACCACACACAGGAGCAACATGGTCCAAAACAAGCAATGATGCCGAGAGCCTTAATCCATTAGAGACAATGGTATAATGTAGATATCAAAGCATACTTGGAGGAAAAGCCTTAGCCTCGTAGTAAAATCCCAGGCACAAGACTATGTGAGTAAACAAACACCCCGCCAACACACTGGAAACGGATGCCAATAGGAAGTTTGGTTTGCGAGCCTAATGCACATAATGGCTCTCGTAATGACCCAAAGGACTGGCTGTTAATCTGTTTACAGGGCTTTTCAACATTTCACAAATCAACATTTTAATGGACCCATGCTGTTGAATCATTCGCTAATATTGATCAAAGACAAGTCTCAGACGGGAAGTAAACTCCTAGACATGTGTGGCAATCCATGCCAGGATCTGAAGAGAGAAGTAAGTACTCGTGCAAGTCTCTCAATATTCACTCTGTAAAAAAACCTCTATAGTCCTATTTTATTATCACAGGGCTAAGCACAATATCAAAGGTATACAAATGTCAGCTGTTACTTCTGACTTGACTGAAATAGCACTTGTAAGTAATCTTTTGTTGACTTTCTATTGCTTTTGTTATCCTTTCTTTATCCTTGTGGGACTCTCAGTGAGATTATCTATTTAGGGCAAAGCAGTACGCTACAGAGGGCTAGGTCAGCGGGGTTTTCTTTCCTTTCTTTGGGTTTATTTCTGTTCACATTACAATGGCTTTTATACGTAATAGAGTCTTAACAATGTTTCCCCATGAGTGATTCAGTGCAAAGACAGACGGGATGGAGAGTTGTAATCCGTCTGGAACTCCTTTGACGTACTTTGAGGGCATGGATGGAAACGGAAATTGTTTCCTAGTTTCTATTGACTAAATTAAAGACAATTCTTGGCCTCTATTCATCAAAAAATGTTAAAACATCTGGTAAAGATGCCTTGTACAGCCTGGTGTACTTACTTTAGATAACATATAGTTACACAACAACCAAATAAATAGATCCATAGTGGAAAAGCATAGCAGCGATGCCATAAATCAAACCAGTCTAAGATAACACAAGTTAGCCTTACACAGTTTATCTGCAGCTAGAAAGTTGGAGAATGACCCTTTATCGTAACATGAAAACACAGTTATCATAAGGATACAAAGAGAGCATGAGTGAGAGACAGAGCCATTTGAAAAGGGACAATTACAAAGAGAACAAGAGCAGGAAAACACTTTAAATCATGTCTCCCCAGCTGGAAAAGCTGCTGTTTTTCCACACACACACACACACACACACACACACACACACACACACACACACGCTGTTGTGCTGTTGTGTGCCCGAGTGTGTGTGTAGAAGTACTCCCAGGGTGAAGTAATGTTCTAATTAAGAAGGGAGTTGAAGCAGAAAACAAATGGTGACCACTGTCTTCTACATTACTCACAATCAGAGGTACAAACAAATGCAGGCATATATACGTTGTAGGCAAATTAAATGTATGTGGCGCAACCATAAGGACAATGGGGACTCACTGCTGGGATCAGGGGTCAGGACAGAAGTTTGTATCAGCAATAAAGTCTGGGTGTGAGAGTGAGAGGTAATCGCTCTCTCTAGGTCTCCTATAGCCACGGTTATGACCTTTAATGTATCCTACACTAAAGGCAGGTCTTTCAGCCTCATGTGCTGAATACTTTGTTTAGATTTCACAAAGCAAGGATAGAGCGAAGCAAACAATCTTAAAGGGGCCCCAAAATGCTAAATGTCATGTTTTGAAATGTGTGTTTTGTGCTTCTCTAAAATGTTTACATTCTTTAATGTTCAAAAAGCAAGTTATTTTTCTGTGCTGCAGCACTTCTTTTCATCCTCTGTCTGAAACAAGCCGGATCTTTTGTGATTGGTCAACTACTTAGAGATGTCCCGCCCCTTAGCCTATCACAAACAATATGGTGGAGTGCTAGCCAATAGAAGCTTGAGTGTTACATAGTGACGTCATTATGATTTTAGCCTTTTCCGACAATTTACACGCACAAAAATCTAACACTACAGGAAAGGGAACTTTCTAAACTGAACATGTCAAGATCAAGAAACCCACCAACAAATACTGCATTTAAGACTTTGCTTGTGGGGACAGTTTACTCTCTTGATCAGAAATGGACATTAAAAACACTGTATATTATGTCCTGTACAATATCATGCAACTAAAGAGCGAATATCAATTTTACATGTTGAATAAAACATTTTAAAGTCCCAGTTTAAGTTATTTTCAAATTACAAATGAATAAAACTAATTTCAAAAGCAATCAGATAGAACTAACAACTACATATAATGTCAAATAAACACAGTGAATGTAAAAGGCTTCATCAGGATTTGAATGAAGTAGGTATTTATTATACCGACATTAATTGTTTACATACTTGATCATTTTGAAATAATTTCTGGACAGGAAACAGAAACAGCAAAGAGCCTTTGGAAAAATTATTTGTCTAATATTTCAATTAGTATGGAGTGGTAATCAACACGCACATTCCTAATACATTTATCATTACAGGACAGGAAGTGGAACTCAAACGTTGCCTATTCTCTTTTATCTGCTGCCTCCACCACAGTATCTGTGTGACAGGCCATTTGTACGTCTGACAGAGGGTTTCCGGAGCCCCGCAGCCCCCGCTCACCTTTGTCACACCGCTTAATTAACCAAACCTGACAGTGTGCTACGGGCTCTGCCAAAATGCCACGCCGTTATTCTACCTGCTGACAAAAAGGCTTCCCTCTGTCCTCTGAGAGGGAAGGTGAAGATGTATGAGACCAATGAAATAAAGCTTATTTTATATGTCAATTCAGGTCACTCATATGGAAATGATATATTCATGATGAAATTGCAATTACAATTTTGCTCAATTATTGCGATTATTTGCTCTTTTCACTGCTAATTAATTCAATTCAAATAGCTTTATTGGCATGACCATAATGACATACAGTATGGCCAAGGCTAATCCATTACAGAGGTACACTATCAGCTTTAGTTACACTTCAGATTACAGTTTGTATCCCCTTCCTGTCCATTGAAGTGTGTATCTTAAGATGTGGTCATTTTCACTCTTTCTGATGAACTTCCGCAAAAGTTGTATCCCTTTATGGATTGAGAACATTCTCTTACTTCTTGAGATAAATAAGATGTTTGAAATCCTCTTGGATGACAGTGAATCTACAAACATACATTAAAGTATATGCCTCTTCACTGTAGATTAAACTACCCAATAGTACATTAAGTAGTTACAATTAGTACAAACTTAAACAATTGATGCAGTGAAATGCTTTAGACCAGGGATGTCAAACTCAATTTCATCGCGGGCCTAAATAGCATTATGGTTGCACTCAAAGGGCCGGTTGTAACTTTTAAGACTATATAAATATATTATATAAAATAATGTATTATATTACATTATTGCCTCTGAATTGGATTATTATCGGATAGGTTAATAACTTCATAATTAACTACGTCCAGGGCAAATAATTGCAAGTCTCTTCAGTGTATGTCACAATACCAGATGCATTGTGGGACATGTAGTTTATGGACAATGTGCTTCTGTAAATCAGCATGTAACCGTATAATAAACATATTTTATTCTTTGCAAGCTCTTGCGGGGCCACATAAAATGAAGTCGCGGGCTGGATTTGGCCCCCGGGCCTTGAGTTTGACACGCCTGCTTTAGACTCTTGAAAGCAGCAGTCATTTGAATCCAAAAACGTCATGGAGAAACATTGACGGGGCACTTTTACTTTAACACGTTTACATTTATCCGTCAACATTGAACTGGTTTTACCTAAGTACATTTTTGAATGGTTCTTCCAGCACTGCCTCCACTTATGTCTCATGTTTCTAACTATTTGATGTGCTGATATTGTGATACTGAAGAAATCAGGCTCTGCTATGCGTGTATTTCTGGAGAAGGAGGTCTCTGCCAATGCACCAAGCTTTGTTATGAAGCAGCTGGCTATTCAAGTAAACAGAAGCAGAGCTACTGTGGGAGACAGGAAGAATGCAGAATATCCTCTGGAGACGCTTCTTTCTTTTTTTTTTTTTTAAATGAGACTGAGAAATAATTAAACAAGTGGCATCAGAGTAGTTAACACCAGTTCAGGGCCGTGTTCACTCAGGCAGAGTTACGTTTGGTTAAACTGTGAAAAGCAGGAACAGCTTTAAGGCGTTTGGTTGTTGCTTGTGTTGTAAGTCTAATGAGTTAAAGTGTATTGAGCCATAACGGCAGTGTAAAACATTTCTGGTAATGCCCTCAGGGGGAGTGGTAATGAAACATTGTTGATAACACTGTTACAATTATGTTGTCGTGAGTATTAATACAATCACACAGAAAATGCTTTGGGCCAGCAGTGTGTCACAGTACGAACACCATCGTAAGGTTGTTCCTTCCTTCACAGACGAGAGATTTAGCAATCTGCGGCAGAATTCAAATGAGAGATTTGAATATTCAAAGATTCAGTCTCTCTCTCGTATTTTTTCTGCGCTCTGCTTTCTCTAATTCCACTTTAATCTCCACAGTCAACACCTCCTGAGCCTCCTTCTGTCTTCAGCTCACCCACACACATACACACACACGCNTAGGGAATGAGTCCTTACCCCAAGTGAAGGAGTTCAAGTATCTCGGGGTATTGTTCTCGAGTGAGGGAACAATGGAGCGTGAGATGGGTCGGAGCAGCGGGAGCGGTACTGCAGTCGCTTTACCGCACCGTTGTGACGAAAAGGGAGCTGAGCCAGAAGGCAACCGCGCCATTTTCGTTCCTACCCTCACCTATGGTCATGAAGGATGGGTCATGACCGAAAGAACGAGATCGCGGGTACAAGCGGCCGAGATGGGATTTCTCCGCAGGGTGGCTGGTGTCTCCCTTAGGGATAAGGTGAGAAGTTCGGTCATCCGGGAGGGACTCGGAGTTGAACCGCTCCTCCTTCGCGTCGAAAGGAGCCAGTTGAGGTGGTTCGGGCACCTAGTTAGGGTGCCACCTGGGCGCCTCCAGCTGGGAAGAGACCAAGGGGTAGACCTAGAACCAGGTGGAGGGATTATATCTCTTCGCTGGCCTGGGAGCGCCTTGGGATCCCCCAGTCAGAGCTGGTTGATGTGGCCAGGGAAAATAAAGTTTGAGGCTCTCTGCTGGAACTGCTACCTCCGCGACCCGACCATGGATAAGCGGGAGAAGATGGATGGATGGATGGCAATGTGGAGATTCAGGCTGCGAAGATCCAGAATGGGCCTGAATTCTCCGGTCTTCTTGCGCGCGGCCCCCCCGTACCCACCTGCTGGCTGCCTTATATAAGGTGGGCTTGTGCACGCATTCAGGTAGGCCTGCCCCCGGCTACGGTTATAGATATCTCAGTTGATGAATGCTCGCATAGTATGGTTGAGAGGTAGTACCCATAGAGTCCAGTAGAGGGCGGAGCCTGTGTGATATATAACTAAGAGTTTGGGTTTGACCCAGTGCAGGGGCTGATCAGGGAAACCAGTGAAAGTGAAATATATATTTAAATTGTTTTACTAGGTGAAAGGTAATAAAAAATATTGGGAGTAATGTATTTTTTTAAATGTAAATTGTTAACGTGTATATTCTTACAGTACTCAAGCTTAAAACCTCGTTTGAAACTAAACATTAGGTGTTTACAGGGCATCAGGTGGAAAAGGACGAAATAAATACTTCTTGTGTCATTTTCACTTCTGAATATATAGGCCCTGACACACCAAACAGACATCTAAGCAGTAGCAGTCCCAGTGTATTTTTTATCAGTTTCATAATCATTGTGTTTGCCTTACTGTCCAACAGGGCAATTGCGCAGAAAACACAGCCAAGAACAACAACATCAGCAGAGAGGAGCAGGACGCCTATGCCATCACCTCGTATACCCGTAGCAAGGCAGCGTACGAGTCCGGAGTGCTGGCCAAGGAGATCGTTCCAGTTAGCATTCCCCAGAGAGGTACAGCTGATGTAGGGCCGGCCTTAGGTACATTTCTTCAAGAAGTGCACCATATCTGATTCTGGTGATGTTTCGTAGGTAAAGCCGATGTGGTCGTGTCTGAGGATGAGGAGTGGAGGAGGGTCGACTTCAGCAAAGTCCCCAAACTGAGGGCAGTGTTCCAGAAAGAGAACGGTAACCAACCATTGCTTTTAGTCATTTGTCATTCGAATTGGGGAATCACTTGAAGCCATTTCTGTCCAACTAAACATGCTTTTCAGAATAGTCATTAGGTCATCATACAGATTGTTACATTTATTTTGCATCTTTTAATTTTGGATTCTAGTTATTTACCTTCCCTCCTGTTTTAACTGTATATACTGCTGTGCATGTTATTCAAGTTTTATTAAACTGCTGCAAATTACTTTGCAATATTATCAACATTTCAGCCCATATTTCTCTTTTTGTTCTGATTGTGGAGTATATGTAATTAGGTGAATGTTGACTTGTAGTGTTAAGCGCTTTGAGTGGTCAGAAGACTACAGAGGTGCTGTTTAAATGAAGTCCATTTCCCATTGGTCTCTTGCATGGTAGGCACGGTGACGGCAGCCAACGCCAGCACGCTGAACGATGGAGCAGCAGCTCTCGTCTTGATGACAGCAGATGCTGCAAAGAGACTCAATGTCACTCCACTAGCCAGGATCGTCTGTAAGCACACGCATAATCACACTTCACACACATTGTCATATTTTTTATTAACTCGAAGGATTAATGTTAAATATCTTTTTTTCATAGCTTTTGCTGATGCTGCTCTTGCACCCATTGATTTCGCCATCGCTCCTGCATTTGCAGTACCAAAGGTGAGTCTGATATTGGTATTTTTAAGTTTTAGTAGTCCCTAAATATTGGGTATATGATGGTTGTTGATCAATCCCCACCAGGTAAACACTGTTCTATGTATATTATTCATATATAGCTCTTATTCAATAGGACCCCAAAAGGTAAACATGCAGTGCTGTATTAAATATTACTATACACAGTATTGTGAGTTTTACTTTTTCAATGTTATTGTTAACAGATTATAAATTATCATGTAAAATGTAATAAGTAATGTAACTATTTGAATGGAGCAAGAGAGGGAAGACTCAGTTCATTGATGCTTGGTGCTTAAACATTCGATCAGAAATTCCCCTTTCTTTGTTAATGCAGCTGCATTTTGTCGTGCCACCCCGTGTTGCACAAAGACAATAAATGATCCTGGAATTCTGATAACATTTTATTATTCATTTTGAAATTTCTTCAAGGACTTTCTGAACCTCTAAAGTATGGAAGAAGCTGCCTCCAAATGGAGAAAGTTAATTTAGAACCGGAGAAAAATATATAAATGTTTATTTATAAAAAATGAAAGTATATCTATGTTATGAAGTAAATCATGTATTACAAGACTCATGTTATTGTCCTGTTCTTTTTGTAATGTGTGTGAGCATTGTCCTGGCCCTTATGTATGTCTTTGAAAAAGAAAAAGTTTAAGCAGGCGGTGAAAACCTTTACTGTCAACTTTTTATTATTGCTTCTTCAATATAACTGGTATAAAGATCGAAACAGCAGAATGAATGTTATAATCTGCTTATATATTTTGCATTATAAGATGCATTAGCCTGAGTTTCTCATGCATTAGACTACCTAAACAGCAACAAACATTATATATTTTTCAGTTGTCTGGAGTGGGTGAATTAAAATGCAGAAAAGGACGATGTATAGGAAAGCATGATGTTAAATACAGCTGCATTTCAGATGTTCCAGCTCAAGTTGACCTTATTCAACGTTTTCTTTGTTTAAGGGCAAACAATGAAATCGAAGGGGCTCTGCCAATTTAAACTTCTTTTAATAAATGTTATCTCCTTTCATTTCAATCTGTGACGAAAATAAAAACACCACTACCCCTATCTCTGTAGCAGGTAACAGCCTTTATCTGTTCATACTGAGACTGATCTGATACTTATACTTTCCTAACTGCATCATTCAATTATTTGTATGATATTTTTGACAGACAAGGATGTAAACAATATCTGGTGGAGGCATATATTCTGCTAGTTCATGTGTTACGTTTGTATTCTGGTTAAATATGCTTGAAATAAAATATGTGTGTTTTTGTCAGGCCCTGGATGCAGCAGGGCTGACAAAGGATGACATCAGCATGTGGGAGATCAACGAGGCCTTCAGCGTGGTCGTGCTGGCCAACATCAAGATGCTGGACATCGACCCTGCAAAGGTCAACATTAACGGGGGCGCTGTCTCACTGGGACACCCCATTGGGTAAGTGCTGAGGGACTCCTAAACATTGACTGGTAAACCTGGAATGCAGAGAAACCCAACCATTTTTAATCTGATCTGCTAAAGCAACTCAGACCAATTATTAAAGTGGTGCGGTGATGAGAGATTGTTGTATGCCGACCCGGAAGTTACTTTCCCAAGGGCTCCCTCGACATAAAGCAATTAGATCTTTACAGAATAAAACAAATCTGTGGCTGACAAACATGATACTTACATGTTTTGTTCAGCAGAATAATCTCCACATATTAACCCCACTTTTGGGATTTTTGAAGTGTAAATGCAACCGAAAGAAGTTAAAAGCTATCGCTAGGCTATAAGGGAACTACCTCACAGTCATGTCACCACTGCTAAGCTAAAGGTGGCTAATGTTTAGATTTCTCATTTAGACATTTGTTACATTTAGCACATTCACAAGTGGGCTATTTACTTAATATTTTATGTCTTAAAACGAAGCATAAAAATCTCTTTAGGTTGTGTTAACCACATATATTATTTTAGCCATCTAACCAAAAACTACAGATTTTGAACCCAAAGAGCTAAAATGCTTATTCATTCCCAGGTTTTCAGGACTAATTCCTGCACGACTCCATTACTACATTTACAATTCAGGCTATATTCAAACCTTTGCCTCACATCTACCTTCAGCTGACTTTAAGTTTCTCAGTTTTTCATTAACATTACACACAAAAAAAGTTTGATATCCGAACAAATGTAATGGATTACAACTTAAACTTTTTCTCTTTGTCCCTTCAGGATGTCTGGGGCGAGAATTGTGGGTCACATGGTGCACAACCTGCAGTCAGGCCAGTACGGGCTGGCAGGCATCTGCAACGGAGGAGGCGGAGCTTCAGCTGTTATTATCCAGAAGCTGTAGGGAGCTCTCTCTCTTCCTGAAACAGTCTTTGTTAAAATTCCAAACGGTTCGAGCATCTGTTAACTCCCTTGCTGTGAACAGTGATTCTGCTACCACTGTATACCAGCAGCCTACTCAATGAGCAGAGTGGGCTCGACTCATGGTATCATGACTCCAGTGTTAGTCCTTTGTTTAATGATACATATTGTGCAAAACTGTTTAATATTTAACTCTGGATTCAAATAGAAGAATAAATAGTTTGTATGAAACCACTGTCTTGTTATTGATTGTCTAAATCCACTGAATCTTTTACTTATTATTATTATTATTATTATTATTATTATGGGAAACTAAGTACAATAAGACTTTGTCTCATACAACATTAACAAGGACAAAAATCAGGAAACAAGGACACAGACATTTAACACAACAATCCCGAGGACAATATGTTCAAGGCCCTATAACGTACATTAGACCTGGGAAACAACTATTTTATTTTAGGATTAACTGGTGCACAAAAGAGTGCTTCAGTCTAACTTTATTAAATCATGGGACACTGTCTGATTTGATGGCAACTATTCATACTCTCTGTTCAGGACATGGGTGTGGTCAGAGACAATGTTGTTGGCCAGCCTCAGTTTATTATAATGATAGTCTGATTCATAAAGTTTCTCAAAGGGTGGACCTGCAATCTGAGCACATTTTTATTTTGTGGAACAGTTTTGACTTTAAATGGATGGAAAAACACTGGTACCATGTGATACTGCAACACTGTAGAAAACTCTTAATCACAGATGCAAAAAACAAAGAAGAATAAGTCTACCTGACATAAGGTGCAGATTAAATCATTTATTTGTTTTCTACTTGATAATCAAGACAAATAAATAAATTACATTTTCTAGCTGGACACTAGATGGTGCCACTTGGCCAGCAAAATTCAATACAACTGAGTTTTGTGTGGCCAATATTGCCTTTACACTGCAGATTTTAAAAGATTGATACAATTGGTTGTTGTTGTTGCAAGTTTATATTTTTTATTTTTAAATTATTAATTTGTTGTTAAAGAGCTTAAAGCTTTACCAGCTTACTAAACACAATGCATTTTCAGAATCTAATGTATCAGATGCGGTACATAAAAAAATAGAATTCGTCAAAAACCTGGAAAGACACTGCTGGGGGTAAGGGCGGAAATATGAAGTGATTTGGATAGACTGTTCCAAAAGGTTACACAAATATAAACCAAAAGGATTCTTTATTTTCTTATTTTGTTTGTAAATAACCTTAACAGCTTACAATCAGGCTCCAGTAGAAAACACCTATTATTGCAATGCTTTATTATCCATACCCTTTTTCTCTTCAAAGGCCTATATGTTAAAACACATCAAAAGGTGCAGGTGTGGTTGTTCTTTCGTCTGTTACTCAATGACTGTCACTTGTCATTCCTTTCTCTTCCTGCCACAGGACAACACTGGGTTAAACATTCACAGGGTCTGAAAGTCCTTTCGGCCAACTCTGTTTTAAAGGCTACTTATTTACATATTTGTTTGGGAGTTACTGATTAATGAGCAGACATTTATCTTTAGGAGGACCAACAATAGCACAACGTAAGAACATCTTCATATATGCAGTTTCACTCAACTAAAACTCTTTTTTCCATAGGTGAATGGCAGCTTTTGGATTGATAAACAAGCAGTGAGCGCCTGTCACATGTTAACTTTTTTTGAATAGAGCAGTGCCTACCATCTTCATTACTTGGCTAATCTTTCAAGACAGGATTTGTACATTTCCAACTCCACAAACTGTTCTTTGAAGTCAATATTGGTGCATAATCTTCCAATACACCTATACAATATGACATGCAGGAACAGCTGCATTTAGTACTGGAATGAGGTTTCCCTGTCAAAAATCAAAAGACTGCTCATTATTTTCACTTCATTCACCCTATCTTATATCCTGGCTTTGGGCAGCAGATAATGAGTGTCGGTGATTGCCTTCGTTAATACTTGCTGTTTGTACATGTCATTTTGAAGTGTTGAATAAATCAGTTGGCACACAACAGGCTGGCATGAGCACACAGTGCAGGAGGAGTGGCCATGGCTGTTGATTACATAAAGGAATGGTCAGAAACAGGGAGAGGGGAACAGAGCGCCGCGGGAATCGGGGAATATCAACGTAGGTCCATCATTGTGTGTGTAAGCCGAGTGTGTGAGCATTTTTGGATGTATTTTGGAAATTGTGAGAGCTTGTTTCTTTAAAAACCTGAGTACTTCGGGTATGTAGTGTTCATGTTGTTTCTCTGGAACTAATGTTTTGGTTTGATGAAAATTGCTTTCATGAATGCTACAGTTTAGGTGCAGTCATTACGACTTGTGACTCATTCATTTTTCTTGTAATACCTGTGAAACCTCATCAAGGTGGAACAGTCCTCCTCCCCAGGCAGTTTCAGTATGAACGATAATCAGGTAAGAAGTAAAGAGAACATTTGTACATTTTAACATATTCAACAGTTTACTCTTCACCTGAGAATTGATTAATTAAAATGATGTTTATCTTGTGTTATCGTTAAATGTTTCTATTCCTATCTCTTCACAGTACCAGGCCAGTCCCATCTATGACAACAGAGGCTTTCAACATGAGGAAAGAAGAACCCCATCAGAAGCCCCCCAACAGGGTCTCTACCCGTGCCGTCCACAAGAGATCCCCAGCTATGTTGCTGTTACTCCTAACACCATCAACACCCACCACTCTGCCCCCCCCGCAGCAGCACCTGAGCCCGCACAGAGGAAAGGTAATACATGATGATATTTTGTCTCCAGCCTTTATGTGAAGCACTGTGTAAAACAAATCTGTGTACAAGAGAAAAATCCACTCTGAGTGTTCATATCATCATCATTCAATTGTTTTTATTTTACAAACAGAAACCCCACCTTGCTTAAAGCTTGATTAGGTAACTTTGATATGTTTTCTTATAAATAAAGGTTTAATTAATGAGCAATAGAACCCACGCCTGCTTCTGTTTTTAAACAAGATATTTGGCTGCTGCACTTTTGTTTTGTCTGTTACCATAATGGTTTATGGCAGCAAACAAAGTCACGATAGAAAACATTAGAGGATAGAATTATTCAAATTTGCTCATGTAAATGTTGTTTAAGTTTCTGTAAACCCAGTCATTGTTTTAGGTGTACTTTAGGTTTAATCTACATAAAAAACATCATCTTTTGAAGATATTCATAGTTTTCTATGTAAACATCTGTGAAGTAAAAGTACAGTTTTTCCCTTTAAAATTGTCGTGGAGTAGTAATTACTCAGAAAGAAAGTACTGTTTAGAAAATACTAGTATTTCAGATCTGTACCTAAAGTACTTGAGTAAATGTACTCAGTAATTTTCCACCACTGGAAACCATTAGAAAAGTATGACTAGGAGCACACAAGAGTCAGCTGACTTTAAGACTCTTCTAATTTCCTGCTGCTGTTTTATCATTTATTAAACATTGCTGTTATTCCTTAACCAAGACAATGACTTTACGAAGATGCATACGTGAGAATAAAAGGAGGGGCAACTGGTACAAGGTTGGATAGTCCCTTGGAATAATAAATAATAAAAAAGCTTTATCCCTGTAGCACTTTTTATAAACACGGTGGAGCTTTAAGTGTTTTAACAGTTGGCTTGACAACACAAGAAAAACAGAACATGAGACAATTATAAAACACAAGACAATTCAATTAAAGTCACATTTTAAAACATATAAGCACACATCATACAGCATGTGTACATGATTCCAATAATACAAGAAGGTCCAATAGTCAAAATAAGTAATACAATAAAATAATCCAAAAGTTACAAACATGTAACCTGCTCAGTTAAAGTAAGAAAGAAATATGAAAAAATGAATACAATGAAAATAATATAGGTTTTCATCTGTCCTTTAAAAGTTGACTGACAGTTTGGGGGTGAAGTGGATAAAAGCCGCCTTCCCAATTTTATTTTAGGGGACTTCTGGAATATTTAGAAGCAGAGACATCAAACGGTAGAAAATCATTGGTATAAGAGCTTTGTATACCTTTTGAAGGAATGTAGTGCAGACCAGGGGCGGATCTAGACAAATATTCATGGGGTGGCAAGAGGGTGGCAGGAGAATTTCAGGGGTGGCATCCCCTGGCAGAAGTATATGCTGATTTAATCGCAGTCATATCCATCAATGTTAACTTGGAAAGCCACAATATTGATATTTTAACTCAATAACATTAGGTGACATTATTGTGGCACATCAGTAAAGCCTTAAATATAAATATATAAGGAGGCACACGTAATTTAATGAATTTTAACTGAATGAGTTGGTTTAACTCTTAGACCAGCAGGGGTACCAAATATGCAGACTGCTGCAATAAGTACATTAATTAACTGTCTCATCGATGTGTGTCTGTATGAATATGATAATATTAACAATCATATTATTCCTATCAGCTGTCAATCACTGTTATGATTCACATATTCAGTGTTATTATTAAATAAACTATATTTTTTGGAGGAGTTAATGATGAACGTTCCTCAAGATGCTTGCTCACCCTCCTTCAAATTTGAAAGACCAGTAATTACTATCATAATTCAAAAGAATCAAAGGAACAGTTCAGCGCCCCACAACTTCATTGCAAACAGTTACAACCTTGACTTTACATCAGAAAGAAACGAGACGAGTGCCTACTTTAGCTATACTCTTATTATTTGATATCACAATTCCTACTGACTGAGAAATGTAACAGCATCTTACCTATACAAACAGAGCGACACCCCACAGACGGGGAGGTTCTTTTGTCATTAAGATTCACTCTTTCACAGTTAATTTACTTGACCACCAATAGCAAGTTTTAATTGAAGACAGGTCCAAGGCCTTTTCATTTGTGAAACTAACATATAGATCCAACCATGCTATATCACTTGAAATAAAGGAACTACTAATATTGACGTACGCTAAACATACTAAAATCAGACCTATGATGCAAAAACATTGGGAACAACTACGTCAATCGACGTTAACAGGANACATTCTGGTGCTCTCTTGAGAAGAAAAATAAATACATATATATTACTACACGAAGTATTTAAAAAAATTAATGCCATTTTAGTTTTTTGTTACTTTGTTCTGAAAGCTGAACCTGCTGCTCCTCACAGAGAGGAGAGGGAAGAGGCTGTGTGAATTACTTTACATTGTGGATAAGGGTGGATTGCCCCCATTGTTCTCTGTGTCAAAATTAAAGACAGCCCACACACCTATCAATCATCAAACCGTGGGGTCTTATAGTTGTACCGATGTATATAGAGATGTACTGCAGCAACTTACATGATGCTGTCAGCGAACCGATCCGGCCTTTCTGCGCGACAATCACTCAAATGCGGGACATAGTCTCAATGTGTGGGACGCGGGACAAATAATAAAAATGCTGTGTGTGCAGTACCGCACAGTGCGGGACACCTGGTCACCCAACACACACGGTTCTGCCCCTCACACACACACGCTTCAAATCAAGTTGCATAAATGTTTGAGCTACGTTTTTATTATATTTACTGTGAAATCTCCCTATTATGTTTTCGTCATTAATACAACAAACACACACTTGCAACTGATAACACTGGCAATGATTTTAGATGTATTAGACTATTAAAAAAAGAAATCATGCTTCAAATAAGTGGGGGTACGGCGTACCCCCGCGTCCAACGCCCACTACACCACTGCTTCTGTCTACTTGTATCCGAAATGCTTCTCGTTTTGTGCTGTCCTCTCGTTCAAATGAAATCGCCGCCAATCATATTTCCAAGCTCGCGCCAGGTGGGGGGAGGGGTTACAAGGCTCGCGTCTTGTGCTGCATTCACTTGCACTCGGACATTAGAGATTTTCTCTCATAAATGTCCGATGAGCCACAACTTTTCTTTCAAAACAAAGCTGCCAAATGGGGTGGCAGCTGGGGTGGCAAGGCATTTTTCTGAGGTGGCAGCTGCCACCCCGTGCCACCCCGTAGAACCGCCACTGGTGCAGACTAATTCTCTTTTGTCTTTGTTTGCTCCGCTGTATTCGTAGACCTGTAGAAATGGCATTACAGTAGTCCAGTCGTTTGTACTTCCGATGAAAGCATGAGCTTTTCAGCATCTTGTTTGTTTACATTTCGAGGCATATTGGTGATATTTCTCAGGTGGGAGAAAGCTGATTCACTTCCCTTGATTATATGACACACTGTATCCCCTGCTGGTGATACAGAGCGCACTCTCCAGCCTGTAGCAATATGATTGGAGAAGAAGCAGATCCATCTTATGATTCACTTTCTAGAAGATCACATCCCTTTCTAGCTTTTCTAAAGATTTCAAGCAAGCTCCACCCTACTGGATAAACAACTACAACTCCTGCCATTGATGCTGTGATCAATATCAACACATTTGAACATTGAAAATGATGGCAGCCATAGACGGGTAATAAGCTGAAATAAAATATATCACCTGTTCTCAAATATATCCTCTCTTCAGCAAAAAGAAACAGAAGATGGTTATTAGGCTGCTATGATGACTGCTTGTAATGTTTAAGAAGGTGTTACAGTTTTAAAGTATGTACACATTAGTTGAACGTTAAATGATAATATAGAATTTCAATCGAAACAAAAAGATGAAGGTGTCAAAATGATAATATGAGGTGTTCAAACGTCCAACTTTTGGTCAAAGGTTTGAATTGACATTAACATAATTGGGGTAGTGGCTTGAATGTATTGATGCTGTATTATGTGTTATACTGTATTTGAGATAGTCAGCTACAGTATGTGTTGTCTCTTCTGCAGAGCCGTATATCTACAGTAAGTGTGAGTGTGCAAATCTTTAATAACATGCATTTACATTTTGTTCACTTGTTAAGATGTATCACAGTACGTTCCTCTTGTCCCCCCTTGCAGGACAACAGAAGTGTCCCTGGAAGCGGGTCCTGTGTGGCTGTCTGTGTGGGCTCCTCCTCCTGGCTCTCGCCGGCATCCTGCTCTGGTACTTCTGTGAGTTCTGTCATTACATGAAATTCATTTTTAAAAGTACATTTACTCAAGTATTATTACTTACTTACTGTAGAAAGAGACATTCAGCATTTGTATTACTTTTACTTTTGACACTAAAGGTTCATCAGGTTATAATAATGTTGTACTTAACTCAATGAACTCTTTGAATTCAGGCTTTTACTTGTAATGGAGTATTTCAAGTCAATAGTATTTCTACTTTTATTTAAATAAAGGATCTCAGTACTTCTTTACATTTTGTTATCATCTCATCAGATTCCTGTGTGCTTTATACTGTGTGTGTGTGTGTGTGTGTGTGTGTGTGTGTGTGTGTGTGTGTGTGTGTGTGTGTTTGTTTGCAGTATACTACCAGTGTTTACTGGGGAAGTCCTGCAAAAGTGGTGGAAGGTGTTTGAGCCACTCCCAGTGGTGTGATGGTGTACAGGACTGTTTTCATGGAGAGGATGAGTCTCAATGCTGTAAGACATTAAAATCATCACACATAAATAAATCCTGTCCGGCAGTATGATGGTGGCTGAACAGAGTTGTCCTCTCTGATCCACAGTTCGTCTCCATGGGGCTAACTTCCTGCTGGAGGGTTACTCCCCTGAGAGCCGCAGGTGGGTGCCGGTGTGTGCTGAATCCTGGGACAACAACTATGGGAGAGCTGTGTGTGAGCATATTGGCTACAACAGGTGCTGTTTCTCTTCCTCCCCTTGGTTTAGTGCTTTATTTGTTCATATAATCCAATACATTTCAAGAAAGAAAATTCAATCCAATCCAAATGTAGAGTTGTTATGAAAGGGCTTTTAAATGGAACCTTCTTAACATCAAGAAATTAAATTAATGTTAAATGATTGCTTGCCACTAAATAGAGTGGTGCAGGGATGATTTGTTTTTGTTTTGTTTGACCGACCAGGTAGTTAGCAAGGGCTCCCTCCACAAAAAGCAATGGGATTTTCCATTGGATTTTGGAATACTGAAAAGCTTTTGATCCTTAAAACGTTTTGTCCTGTAGGATATTCTCCACACATCAGTTTATGATTTTTGAGGCGTAAATGCAATTGCCAGATATAAAAAGCCATGGCTAGGCTGTAAAGTGGTAAAGGAACTACAGCACGGTTAAAAGACTTAAAGTCAACGCCGCTGAGCTGAAGGCGGCTAATATTCGGCGTGATGTCTTTAAGTAGTCTCATTTAGTCACTTGTTAGTTTGGACATTCAACAGTGGGGTATTTTCTGACATATTTCGTTGGACAAAATGTGAAAATCTCTTACGTTTCGAGGCTTATAACCAAGAACACGTGACTTCAATATAGGAAACCGGAAGTGGTAAAACACTAACTCATTTTAGGGTTTTAGGACTCATTCCTACACCACTATATGACTAACACTGCAATTATACTATATCATACCTTATTTTCATATAACTGTACGTAGGAAAAGTAGCTTTGTTCTTCAAGCGCGCTTGTGCACAGTGTGGTCTAACGGCTGAATAAAAATCAGGACTTCTTGGTTTATAGCCATGAGCTATTATATTGCTGCGTGACAATATACATCCTAAATTAACAATTATTCAATATTTTCCTCATGTATACAGTACTTGTCGGTAAGGACAAATAAAACAACACATGATGCCATAACTTACCATTGAAAAGAAAAATTATTGAAAGAATAGCAGCACTGTAAAGACCCACAACACACATTTCAAGGGAAACTTGAAAACTGCAATTCTTACATTGTGTGGATGTACACACATATTTGCTATAGCTGTAGTCAGAGAGGACCCTCCATCATACACACATGACTGTATTTGATCCCACCTCCCTGATCCTGCAGGCAGGACTATGTGTCCTACACTCAAACCAGCGCAGGTTCTCTATCCTCCAGAGGATACATGAAGCTGCAGCCTGGAAGTAAATATGGAGCACCTATACACTCACAGCTCACTTTCAGGTACCCCCCCCCACCCCCCACACCCTTCACTGCATCATAACTGTGTACACAGGACACGCTGTGTACAGTCAGAACTCCTAAGTTAATATTGAATATCTTATTTGGGATTTGAATATACATTTTTGTCACTCTTTCTTTTGTAGCTCATATTGCACAGCCAGAGTCAAACTTCAATGCATTGGTAAGCTATTTATCTAGTTGTAACATAACTACACTACTGTAATTTGTGTTTAATTGAATGCTACCTCTCCACAGCTATTTTAATTCTGATATATTGCACATAATGAATTTTTCATAGTAAATTGTCATATTCTTATTGTACTTTTTTCTTATTGTTTTAATTTAGGAATAATTGTAACTTTAAATGTATCTAACTTTACTGTGTTTATGTATGAACAATTACAAGGCAATGCTCATTTCTTGTTTAATGCATGTTATGTTATGTTTACGTTTGTTTGGTTTATGGCAATAAACCTGATTCAATTAAGAGGTATGATCGAATCTCTTCGGAAAGTGGGATTTAGGCGGCCACACAGTGAGACCTCAGGATAAAGTGACCAAACCTCCGGTGGCCGATCCATGCCAATGTGGTAGGAAAGGCTGCAAACACAAAACGCTGCAAGAAGCTCACAACACAACGGAAACTGGGACATAAAAAAGTTTGGGGATTTTACAGTTGATAATTTGGCACTGTTGGCATAGCGTTTTGTATTTGCAGCATTTTCTGTATGCAGCGCTTTTAGTAGCTCGCGTAATGCTGTGCGTGTAATGTCAAGTTTGTGAAGATACTTCTTAATTTGCGTGTGTTTTTCGCACTTTTTTTGCATTGTTTTTGAAGCTGTTGCCGATTTTTGAAATGGAAGTGTTTTGGGCCGTTGTAGTGCGTTTGCACCTCTAAATACAAAAGTCTTTGAGAAAGGAATTTTAGCATTTTTTGGGGTTGTCTTCAAACAATTTTCCTCCTACCTCAGAATGTGGAGTGAGTTCTGCCAACCCCAGTACTCGCATTGTGGGGGGGACAGAGGCAGTGAATGGGGCCTGGCCGTGGCAGGTCAGTCTACAGACCAATGGTTATCACCTCTGTGGAGGCTCCATCATCAGCCCGTACTGGATCCTCTCTGCTGCCCACTGCTTTCAAAGGTAAGCTTTTTATCTTATGTATTTTTTCACTATTTATAATTTACATATTTTTTTAAACATGTTGAAAAAAACGTTTTGAACAAATTGATAATTGAAAAAGAAGAAAATTACCATGCGTGCACACACACACAAAGACACACACAATACATGTTAGATAGCTAGCTAGTGTTAGCTAACTATAAAGTAGGCTAATGTGTTGATATATTATATTAACATGCAAACACATGAATGTGCAAGTATGTTGTTAAAATCTATCAATTTTATGACATCAAATATTTTCTGAGGTAAAAGATTAAGATAATCAGACCGATAATACTGATCCCACTTCATCTCCCTCCATAAACACTCCTATTCCACAGCATCAGTCACCCAAGGTTTTCCCCAGAGAATAGTACTCAGCCCCATCCTCTTCTTCACCTACATCAGGGGTACTCAAACTTTTTTGTTAAAGGTCCACTTGTGAATTTTATACAAGGTCAATGTTCCGGATCAATGCCAGTGAAGTCCCCCCCCNGATTGGCATGCCCACATTTTAAACTATATCATTGGGCATTCATATTAAGATCTCTCAGCTATATAGAGAGAACAAGGTAAATGAGGATAAAATGTAATCTTGGAAGAATGTGGAACAAGACTTAATAACGCCGATAAGATTACTTTCTGCTTTTAGGTATATCTACCAAAAAATGTGATTTACTGTACGGTCCAATTTTAACTTATATGATTAAAGTGTTCAGAGCAGAAGGGAATTCCTAAACTTTAAGAGTGTGTGGTGTAGGTCATCTCCATTATGGAACAATCCTAACCTATTGACTGGGGGCAAACCATTTAACAACAAAGCTTGGGAGGATAAAGGTATTAAAACTCTTCAGGACATTAATGGGGAAAATTGTATTCATGACTTTCAAAAACTGGTCTCTCAATATAATATTGATCAACATTCTCTCTTCTTTTACTTTAGAATAAGGTCTGCCTGTAAAGCCTATGGGGTCCCCTGGGGGTCAGATTTGAAAGAACATCCTGTTCTGAGTTGGGTGCAGAGCGCTCCCAAAGAAATAGTTTCGTTTATCTATAATAATCTTAACTCCCAGAACTATATGCCTACATCAGGCATGAGAGCATGGGATAGGGAAATATCCACTTTACAAGAATTAAGAATTGGATTGGGATGCAATTTGGGCTAATGTTACGGGTGCTTCAAAAAACCCAAACCATCAGTATATACATCTGAAATGTTGTCATGTAATAATCCTATCTAACACCAATAATTAGACACAGAATTGGATTGGTACCTGACCCGTATTGTTCATTTTGTCACCAGGGAACCATTGGCTCTTTCTTACATGTTGTATGGGAGTGTCCAGGAGTATTACACTTTTGGGGGAAGGTTATTAGTACCCTTACAGATTTAATAGGGTTGAGATTACCAATGGAACCTGCTGTACATCTTCTAAATGATGAATCTCACCTTTCCCTTACGGGGAAAACTTGCAAAATATGGCTAACAGGCTTGACTGCAGCTAAAAAGATTATAGTCTATGGAGTGGGTGGGAGGGATGTAGGATAGAGGGATGGGCTTGAATTAATCCAAAATGTTGTGCAACCTGAATTGTCTTCTGTACTGTGTAGTAAATTGAAGATGTTGCAATAAAAAAAAAGAAAGAAAGTCATACATCTCAAGTAAAATAAGACTGAGAAGTGAGTTTAGGTTCATCTCAGTCCACTGAGCAGTCTTTAAAGAATTCAAAGGTCATTGAAAGCCTGACTGGTGTTACCCCAACAGACTTGAATAATTGGATCTTCAGGCCCTTTGTGGTCCTCCATTAGGGACCATTGTGTCTGTGTAGATGAAGTTGGTCTAATATGTCTGTCTGCTCCTTGACTCGGCAAAGTCAGTGCATTATATCCACGCTTCTAAAACATGACACCACTCACCAGAGAATGCTGGTCGTAGGCTATGGGGTCCATGGAGGTGGCGCTTCCACGGCGAGAGTCTGCATGAACACTTCCTGAGTCTGAAAAGCCCAGTCCTGCATCGGCATACTGAGGCACCCCCTCTCTGTACATGAGGTCGTCCTCGAGGACAGACTCGGGTCCCAGGGAGCTCTTGGGAGTGGGCATGGGCGTGGCTGCAGTGCGCATGATTATTGGAGGAGCTATGGAGCCGCGAGGGTCAACATGACCGTTGGCTGTCATCATCAGAGAGTACATTTTAAGCTCTGTAGAGGCATAAAGTCATTTTATAACAATACAAACAAACAACACATTTTGAAATGTATTAAAACAAACATTCTGTCATTTAACCTACCAGAGTCTCTGAGCTGGGAGACCTTCTCGTCATCATCAAAGTTATCTGATTTCTTCTCATCGTCCGACTCAGACCGATTAGCATCACCCTGGACACAGGAAGGATTTTTTTCACAGTCTACGAGAAGTATCAGAAACTGATCTTTGACTAGAGCTGTGAAGGTTAAGGCTACGATAACATGTTCCAAATCAGGAAGTGATGGAGCAGCAAAGTATGGATTGCAAACCTGAAAAATGCATTTAAATGGATTTTTTACTATTGCTGGCCATGCGTTGATGATGCAGTGCCCCCGGCCTCCAAAGGAACACGATGCTGAATAGTTTGCAACGGAGAAGCATAGACAACTCCAAAAGCAACACATTTTCAACAGTGATAGCTTAATGGGTCGCTGCAGCTTGAAGGCAGATCCACATTGTGGAGGACGAGGGACTCTTTGAAATCATTTTCATCGCATTTTTCTTTCAATGTTGATTATAGTCTTAAAAATGTATAATCTACATTTAGAACAAAAAAACTACGTGATTAATCGTGAGTTAACTATCAAATCAAATTGTATTCATATAGCACATTTTAAAAACGTTTTTTTGGTCGAGCCAAAGTGCTGAACATGCAATAAAAAACCCTTTACTGCGATAGCAAACAGAAGACAATAAATTACAACAGCAAATATAAAAATCAAACACAGGGAAATGTCAGGAGTCGTGCTCCGCTCTGACTAGAAGGCCAGGGAGAAGAAGTGAGTCTTTAGTGTCGATTTAAAAACCCCTAGGGTCTGGGCCAGAGTGTTCCAGAGCCTAGGGCCAGCCGCTGCGGAGGCTCGGTGCCCTCGGGGTTTGAGCCTGGGTTTGGCTGGTCAGCCGACCTTAATGCTCTGGCTGGGGTGTAGCGATGGAGGAGTTCGGCTATATAGGCCGGAGCCAGCCCATTTAGGGCTTTGAAAACAAATAAAAGGAGTTTAAAATCTATTCTGAACCGAATTGGAAGCCAGTAATGAGGCCAGAATTGGGGTGATGTGGTGACACTTTTTGTGGCCAGTGAGAAGACGTGCAGCTGCGTTCTGCACTAGCTGCAGGCGTTTAATCGACACCTGGTCCATACCCACATACAGAGCGTTGCAGTAGTCCAACCTCTCGTGGTTACAAAGGCGTTAATAACCCTTTCTAGGTCTTTAAAAGATAAAAACGACTTGGTCTAAGCCAATAATCGTATTTAAAAAAGCAGGTTTTGACTACGGTGCTGACCTGCTTATCAAATGTAAAAGCGCTATTGAAGGTCACTCCAAGGCTCGTGACAGAGGGGAGGATGCTTTTATTGAGGGAGCCCAGAATGTCAACCGGAGAGGCTGGAGGTCGGGGTCCAAACAAGATGACCTCGGTGTTGCTCTCGTTGAGGTTGAGGAAATGTTGGCTCAGCCAGGATTTGATCTCTGTCAAGCAAGCAGTCCATCAATAGCTGTCAATTATACGATTAATCACCACTAAGCCTTTCTTTGAACGCCTTGAAGCGAACGAGGACATTCTCCTAGCTGAAGGCTCACTGCGTGGCAACATGATTTGGATGAGGAAGAATCGATGATCTGAAATCATCAGTGGGTTTGTTTTGGACCGGGTCTCACTTTCATTCTACGAGCAGTGGGGCCTCACATGATGTGACAGAGAGGTAATGAGAGTCCGGACCGGCGGCTGTGAGACTCCATCGGGAGTTAATTAACATCGAGAGAATCTCATCGGCATTCACGCAGTTGTGGATGAGAGATGCTCGTTAATTAGACATTCATCGTTACTCCACTCCCCTGGCATTAGAGCCATCATTGCAATCTTTTCTTTAAAGTAAAAGGGTCAAACCGAATGACATATTGTGCTTATTGTGTTCTCACCTCGGCCTGGAAGCCTTCAACCAAGATGGCCACAAGCAGGTTGAAGAGCACGTAGTTTCCAAATGTCATGAGAGCGACAAAGTAGAGCGCCGCCCATGGAGAGGTGGAGGCCATGCCGTTATACAGCACCACGTTCCAGTCCTCCTGGGTTAGAATCTATCGATTGAATGAAACACAAAGTCAGCTTTAGAGATATGTTATTTAAAAAATAGAGGAAAAGGTCGAGGGTCCTTGGAGAGAGAAGAAATGAAAGGCACACATAGAGAAAGAAAGGGGAACACATGGAGAGTAGAGGGGAAAAGGAAGCAACATTATCCCTTCATGTTTAATATGCTTTATAAAATACAGTACTCAGCTGTGAAAAGAAGTTCTTAAATCTTTTTGATAAGTAAACGTAGTAATATCACTCTGTTACAAGTTGAAATACTGCACTCAAAGTACACTTAGAATAGCAAAATACTGCTGAATAGGCATTTTCGGAATATAATATCTATTGTATTACTGGATTATAATTAGTGATCCATTAATGTGAACATCATTTTAATTGAGTAGCTAGTAAACGTGGAGCCATCTTTAATGACTTCACATACTGCCAGGTATATTAAGTAAGGGGTAATGTGCAGTGAGCCGGGTGTTAATGAGAAAAGAACCCCGACAGGGTGAATCTCTAGAGTCTCTCTGCTGCTGCTTCCTTCAGTGTTTATTTCCCGTGTGTCTCCCGTCCCTATTTTCTCCATTGGCTTTGGAGCTCGTTCCTTCTCTTCCACTGATTTTCATGAACACCAAATACAGTATGAATATTAAAATAAATAATCCATG